GGGTGTAGCGAGCCGGGCAGCCCTGGCTCGGGGCTTGGGGTGTCGGGGTGCGAGATCATATCTGTGTACCTTTGGTTTTCAGAGGCATGGTGTCCAGGGAGCAGGGGCTCCAGGGGCCCCAAGGGCGTGGAGCCGGGCCCTGAGGTAGGAAGGTAGCTGGAGTCTGCGGGGGACTGGGCTTGCGAGGGAGGCCTGTGGGGGAAAAAATCGTAGTTCCCGCCTGGCCCGTAGTAGTCTCCTTGGTAGGTGTAGCGAGCCGGGCAGCCCCGGCTCAGGGCTCGGGGTGTCGGGGTGAGAGATCATATCCGTGTACCTTTGGTTTTCGGAGGCGTGGTGTCCCGGGAGCGGGGGCTCCAGGGGCCCCAAGGGCGTGGAGCCGGGCCCTGAGGGGGGCAGGTAGCTGGAGTCTGCGGGGGACTGGGCTTGCGAGGGTGGCCCGTGGGGGAAAAAATCGTAGTTCCCGCCTGGCCCATAGTAGTCTCCCTGGTAATCTGGAGTGTGGGAGAGAGAAGAAGGTGAGGCAGGGACCGGACGCCAGCAGCGCAGGGTGCACGGCACTGCGCGCACAGCATTGCACCTGCTCAGGGACCTTGGCCTGTCGCTTTTGCTCCGCCACAGAAGCGGGTCCCGTAACAGCGACTCCCGCATAGAGCTGCGTGGCCCACATTTATTTTCCGGCTGCTTCTTTTACCGCCCCCTTCCTCCAGGTGTCAAAATGAAGCCGCCCGAATGACCCCGATAAAACCAGGAGAGGATCAGGCGCGCACAGCATTGCACCTGCTCAGGGACCTTGGCCTGTCGCTTTTGCTCCGCCACAGAAGCGGGTCCCGTAACAGCGACTCCCGCATAGAGCTGCGTGGCCCACATTTATTTTCCGGCTGCTTCTTTTACCGCCCCCTTCCTCCAGGTGTCAAAATGAAGCCGCCCGAATGACCCCGATAAAACCAGGAGAGGATCAGGCGCGTTACTCCACAATTAGACACATCTCTTGCCCAACGTTCCAGCAATCAGGGTAAGAACCCGGCTGGTTGTCAGCGTTAGCAGAGACTTTTCGCTGACACCTGCGCGTTGCTTCGGGAGCCCTCTAGCTGCAGAGAACCCCCTCCTGCCCCGTCCATCGGGTGCAAAATAACAGAATCAAGAGATTCATAACTGGGCACTCATGACTTTAACCGTGAATAACACCAGCTCGTGCACTAAACAGGTAACTACCCTCAGCGGGGATTCGTTCTAAGGAGAGAAAACAATAAAAACCCCTCTCACAAATAGCTTCCCAGGAGGAAGCAGACAGAGGCTAATGGTAAAAGGTTTTGTTTAGAATATGCAGGAGCGGATGGAAAATCGGGAGTTTAATTCGATGCCCCCCCTTCCCTATGAATAATCAATAACTACGCGGTAATCTTGACACGCAAACAACCCTCAACACCTCGCCACCCACCCAACTGCATTGCGGTGCGGAATCTCCAAAATAGTAGAAGTATCTGGAAAGCCGCGAAATAATTATAAACTGCGGAGTGGGGAGGAGGAAGGGGGGCGGGCGCTCTCGCTTTCCTTCCAAACTTAGGGAAAAAACCCACAACAGGCAACATAATTTTAATTGACCAAACATTTGAAAAAGAACTAGACAAGGTCCCTATAAAAATTCGCACGCGCAGCCCGAGGGAGCGCGCATTCTCTCCTTCCAGGATGATTTGGAGGGGGAGACAGATGTATGGAAAATGTCTTATGGAGCTGGCACGGAAGGAAAGAAAAAAAGGATTTTCCCCCTTCAGCAATAGTAGGTTTGCAAGTGAGGGGTCATTTTGCTAAGCCCCAGGCTGGCCGGCTCACGCAGCAACCAAGCAGTCTGGCGACACCCAGCCAGGACTAGCGCCAACTTTCACGCCCGCCCCCCATCCCACACTGCCTTCAGGGGCAGGGC